GCAACTGTATGATAAGCAGAATAAATACGATTGCCAGAAATATGACGTGTCAAACTCAGAAATGACAACCTACTCATATGTGTTGCTCTACTGCGTGAGACAGGACGTTTTTCGGTTTTACAGATATAAACGTTCAGGCATGGGAAATTGGTCGTCAACATTTATCGTTGTTCTATAACTTGCTATTAACATTTATATTGCGGTGTAACATTCTAATTGAAGATTCCCTTGAACGGTGAGACAATCTAATCGAGGATTCCCTTGAACGCTGTGATAATATAATCGAGTATTCCCCCTGAACGGTGTGACAATCCAATCGAGGATTCCTCCTGAACGGTGTGATAATATAATCGAGTATTCCCCCTGAACGTTGTGATAATCTAATCGAGGATTCCCCTGAACGGTGTGACAATCTAATCGAGGATTCCCCTGAACGTTGTGATAATATAATCGAGAATTCCCCCTGAACGGTGAAATAATATAATCGAGAATTCCCCCTTAACGGTGTGACAATCCAATCGAGGATTCCCCTTGAACGGTGTGATAATGTAGTCGAGGATTCCCCCTCACGGTGTGATAATTTAATCGATCTCATCAATCTAATTAAACTTTCCCCAACCGATGTGGCAATCGAACTGACTATTCCCCTATGTTTAAAATATACTTTTCATGAACCTTATGAAACAGGCGTAAAATATTTCTTGCTGGCATACATGTACTAAAAACATATTCCCAAAGCAATGTAATTTATCAGATCCTCTGGGCCACCATACGAAGGTGGCAGGTTCGATCCATTTAACCATACAGAACACATTTGTATCTTACTTGATTCCGACTTGCCTACTTGTCTGCAGTGTGTTCAAATGCAACATAAATCTCACGGGAGGAGGGGCGGTCGGGTAGCCTAGTGGTTAAAGCGTTCGCTCGTCACGCCGATGACCCGGGGTCGATTCCCGACATGGGTACAATGTGTGAAGCCCATTTCTGGTGTCCCCCGCCGTGATATTGCTGGAATATTGCTAAAAGCGGCATAAAACCCCATTCACTCACTCACGGGAGGGCATTCGCGTGCATCAGTATCACCGGACGTGGAATCGAGTTTGGAGCCGTCCTAATGACCGTTTTATGGACATTAAGGTCGTACAGCAAGATCGTTGTGGGGGTAGGTCCATAATGGTATGTGGTGGTATGTCAATGACTGGCGGAACTGCGCTCCATATTGTCCATGTCATAGTCACGGTTAATACTATCGGGACATCTTCATTGCACCTCTCGTGGTGCCATTTGCACAACTTGCACAATATCTCAACATGATAATGCACGTGCTCTTCGTGCCAGGATTGTGACCCAACTCCTCTAAAAGCAAAACATCCCTGTTGTACCATGGCCAGCACTCAGTCGTGACCTTTCCCCCATCGAACACGTCCGGGACGTCATTGGCAGACGTGTACGTCAATGTTTAAATCCACCCACCACTCTCGATGAGTGAGTGAGTTTGGTTTTACGAAAACATATGTCAAACTCACATTGGATATGATCATATCATTTTCATTTGCCGATAGGTCTGGATGGTTGCCACTATCCCATTTCTTTTGCATAGTATATATTGAACTCCTCTTAGCAACACAAAGCAAAGTCGGGTTTCCCGATGGACGCTGTACACACTGGACACTGGGACAATGGACACTGGGACACTGGACACTGGACGCTGTACACACTGGACACTGGGACACTGGACACTGGGACACTGGACACTGGGAATGAACATTGTACATCCTGTACACTAAGGCTGAGAATCTAACTGCACAGTCAACGACACAGTTTGTGATAAATCTACAAAACATTCAAGGACACTGTATGTGAGAATCTAAAAACACATTCACCGACACAGTGGATGAGAGTGTGACAGACGGACTTTTACACTGTGTGGGACTATAACAGAAGTGTTAAAGGCTCTCTGGTCTAATTGTACTGAAGTTTAATGTACACTGTATGGCAATCTTAATGGAGATAACACTCAGACAAGCTAAATATTACCCGACACTGATTTACAGGCTATCTAAAAAAAGCTCACCTGTTTATTTACTCTGATTAAAGCAGAGAATCTATATGAGTGATTGAATGTTATGCTAATCAAATATGACATATTACCGGTTCTTGGGGACACTGTGACCATATTTAAATGTGCAAACCTTGTGTTTCAGCTTCAATGAAGAGGAGGACCCTACATTTCGCTCCTGTTTGGTTGTTGTGGAGTCAAGGACATCGAGCTGAACACCTGTCACAGATTGGTTTATTGTTGTGAAGTCACAGTGATCGAACTGAAACACCTGTTAGAGATTGTTGTATTGTTGTGGAGTCACGTTTATCTAGCTGAACACCTGACCTAGTTTGTTTGATTGTTGTGGAGTCACGGTGATCGAACTGTACATCTGTCACCGATTGATTGATTGTTGTGGAGTCATGGGGATCGAACTGTACACCTGTCACAAATTGCTTGATTGTTGAGGGGTCACGGTGATCGAACTGTACATCTGTCACAGATTGATTGATTGTATTGGGGTCACGGTGATCGAACTGAAAACCTGGTCTAGTTTGTTTGATTGTTGTGGAGTTATGGTAATCGAACTGAACATCTGTCACAGATTGTTTGATTGTTGTGGGGTCACGGTAATCGAACTGAACACCTGGCCTAGTTTGTTAATGTTCTAAATTTATCCTCGTTGGTATGCGCATTTACGTCCTGTATGCATTCCCAAGGGAAACAAAAGGCCAGAAGTAAAGAACTTCTAAGATTGAAATTGTTATGTTATCTATACAGTTTATATGTCACTTTTATCGTGAAAAACCAGCAGTAAAATCACAGGCCGCGGTGGTGCAGTGATGACACCAGATGACTGAAAACATCCTGGGGGATGTTGTTCCAAATGTCAACCAAAGATTGTCCCAAGTGAGCTAGCGTTGTCGGCTGGTTCTGGTCATTGGGATACGTTGTTCTATCGTATCCCATATATCTTCTACGAGGGAGAAGTCAGGAGAAACAGCTAGCCATGGCTGGCAGTACAGCAATGTTATGCCTTCTCAAATAGTTTATTACAACACTACAACGTGACGGTACGTCTCAACATTTGCGCAAAGGGTAGAACTTGATGTCGAACGATGTCGTACCAATAGTGTACGCCATTCTGATTGCCATTAACACTGGTGAGTTGTGGTCTCCGAAGTATTGCGATGGCATCAAATACAATTACACTTCCAACCCCAAACTGACGACGTCTAATAATGCAAGTGTTGCTAAACGTTAGCCAGAACGCCTGTGGACCCTTACACGACCACCAGAGCTGGCAAGATGAGACCTTGACTCATCGGCGAACAGTGTACTGTCCCAGTCTTGTTTTGAACCTCAGATGCTGGCAACACCAAGTTGGGTGTGCCTGACGGTGGCGTGTCTGGCGGCCACGTGGAAGCAGAAACGGGCGTAGCGCAGGTTGGCGGGGCCGGATGTTGCGTCAGCTGTTAATGTAACAGTTTTGTATAGATTCCGTATTAATATGGTTGTCTTGTTGACGTGACGTCACACGTAGACAACCGGCCCATGGCAAGTCATGAATGTTGCCCTGTAGATAACGTCTGGATGAACATTAAAATGTCTGGCAACTTTGTTTTGCGTCATTCCTGTATGCAGCATAGACGTTGATTTTCAGCAAGCCGTGGCATTGCTTAAGCGTTATGTGCGGTTAAACAAAAATGTTTAAAGAACTCCTGGTAGAAAAACAATCAGTGTGCACTGAGAAAACAGTTTGGTAAATACTAGTAACAGCGCCCACAAGGTAGCAAACAGCGGAATTACTATACTGCCTTGTAGTGCACGAAGATCCTGACGATTAGAAAATATTACCTATTAAATTGTGTTCTTTCTAAACACGTTTAGGGTCACACATGAAATGAGATATCGCCTTATTTTGTGGAAGCCTCGGTGGCTGAGTGGGTCAGATAGCTGACTTTGTGTGCTGGCGAATATGTGGCACACTCTGAGAGTGTGGGTTCAAATCCCGGATGGGACTCAAACCCAAACGTACTCAAACATGTACTTTACAAAGAAACTTTATTTGAAACCCAAATATATCATTTGTTGTATCGCCTCCTAGCCTTAAAACCACCTGAACACAACATCTGCATAATCCCAACATCTTTAAAATTTAAACATTTTTAATAGAGTGCTTATCATCAGGCTGTCAAATACGGATAAGATGTATGAAATATATTGAAATTAGATGTGCAAATCAGATTCACGAGCACATACATAACACATATACAACCGTGACCTACAACGAACTTGGTACAATATTAGCATATAAATGTACAAATAAACCAAGATAATGGTGAATAGGACATTTGACACTTGTGATGACGACAGTCTCCGGTGGTAGCGTGACGGACGAGGTTGCAGTTTCGAATCATACCGGTTTAAAATTCTTCGTGTTCATCAGTGTGTTTTGTTGCTGTATGCCAAATAGCATATCTCTCATACAGAAAGCTGACAATGAAAGTATGTATAATTACTACTTAACACGTTGTAGTTAGTGACAATAGGCCACTTGGTACAAACAATATTTACTGATTTGTAAATTCTGCTAACATGTTAGTGTCTGAGTGAGCAGTGAAATTCACAAAGTTTCTAACTATATCTGTCAGTGTGAGGGTCACATTAAAAACACCAGGGATGCAGGTATCATGCTCACAATAAACACGCAAACATTAACATAGTGCGTTGTGCACTATCGTACACGTGCAATTTGTGAATCAGAATTAAGTCGAGGAGATGTCTTCATGAATATTAGTGTGTATTGAAAGATGTATTACTTTATTTCCCACTTTCCCATTCTTATATATATATATATATATATATATATATATATATATATATATATATATATATATATATATATATATATATATATATATCGGTAAGCAAATAGGGAATAAAACATTTTGTCAAATGCTTATTTTATCTCGCGAATCTGACAAAGATGATGTTTTATAAGGTCACTTGATGAGACGAAATTGTTATATGACAGGAAATGTAACAATACTCTTTACAACCTGTACCCATACGACATAATGCACCTAAACTTCAAGTTCATGTTAAACTTTATACTGCAGCTGCAGTCTACACATCTAGTGACTGTGACGTGTAAGTGTCTAGAGACAGTCGGAGTCCACTGTGACTCTACAGAGTACGACGTGTTCGTGTCGAATATAAAACGTCATCGCCAGGGACCTACCCGTCTCGATCATCTGCCGTGATAGGCGCAGAAGGCAGACTGTTGATGAAAATTATATGGATGGATCAGTGAAATTCAGTGATGACACCAGGTGTTCTTGAACAGAATAAACACGAACAGGAGAAATAGAAACAACACCTGCCTAATGTGTCACATATTTTGCAGATTTACTGTACAAACACACATAATGAAGAGCCATTATATTGAAAGATCTATCGCACAAATACCAGGCCTTGTGATTTCTTCAGCTTTGTACATCTATTGCAGCAATTCTTTAAAGTCTTAAAGATGTCTGGTTCAGAGACACGTCTGCACAGACAACTGTGCCACCTGTGGCCGACACGAAGCATCACCCACCCACACGGCAGATGTCACAACCGGCGTCCACGCCTGAAATGCGATCTTTGAGTTTACTAATTTCAGATTGAAAGAGGAATCTGTTCTGGCTCCCCAACTCGAGTGAGTTACCAGCAGTGTTAGTCTAACTACCTCTTTGCATGAGGTCATGATGTGTCCGGTGAATGCAGTTCGAATCTGGGTCAAGGAAGGACAACCTTATTTGTTGCCAATCACTGTTCGCCAGCTCCAGGCTGTGTACATTAAGCTGGATACATCACCAAGCAATCTGTTCTTTGTTTTCCATCCCCGGAAACAACTCGGCGGTCACAGAAACACACCAGTGGACATTTTCTTATCTGGCACTTGCTCCAATATGTGTATGTCGGGGTGTGGCTGTAACAGAAGAGTACCAGAAATATTATAAACATAGATATGGAATCAATATCAAGCACGCATCTTTATATCTACAGCTAACTAATGCTTACACCATATCTCTACAGTCACCACATACCTCTATCTCGACAGCAGTGAAATGTTCCTCTCACCCTATCTCTACAGTCACCACATACATGTACCTCTATCTCGACAGCAGTGAAATGTTCCTCTCACCCTATCTCTACAGTCACCACATACCTCTATCTCGACAGCAGTGAAATGTTCCTCACACCCTATCGCTACAAACACCACATACCTCTATCTCGACAGCAGTGAAATGTTCCTCACACCCTATTGCTACAAAAACCACATACCTCTATCTCGACAGCAGTGAAATGTTCCTCTCACCCTATCTCTACAGTCACCACATATCTCTATCTCGACAGCAGTGAAATGTTCCTCACACCCTATCGCTACAATCACCACATACCTCTATCTCGACAGCAGTGAAATGTTCCTCACACCCTATCGCTACAATCACCACATACCTCTATCTCGACAGCAGTGAAATGTTCCTCACATCCTATCGCTACAGTCACCACATACCTCTATCTCGACAGCAGTGAAATGTTCCTCACACCCTATCGCTACAATCACCACATACCTCTATCTCGACAGCAGTGAAATGTCCCTCACACCCTATGTCTACAGTCACCACAAACCTCTATCTCGACAGTGGTGAAATGTTCCTCTCAACCTATGTCTACAGTCACCACATACCTCTATCTCGACAGCGGTGAAATGTTCCTCTCACCCTATCTCTACAGTCACCACATATCTCTATCTCGACAGCAGTGAAATGTTCCTCACACCCTATCGCTACAATCACCACATACCTCTATCTCGACAGCAGTGAAATGTTCCTCACACCCTATCGCTACAATCACCACATACCTCTATCTCGACAGCAGTGAAATGTTCCTCACATCCTATCGCTACAGTCACCACATACCTCTATCTCGACAGCAGTGAAATGTTCCTCACACCCTATCGCTACAATCACCACATACCTCTATCTCGACAGCAGTGAAATGTCCCTCACACCCTATGTCTACAGTCACCACAAACCTCTATCTCGACAGTGGTGAAATGTTCCTCTCAACCTATGTCTACAGTCACCACATACCTCTATCTCGACAGCGGTGAAATGTTCCTCTAACCCATCTCTACAGTCACCACATATCTCTATCTCGACAGTGGTGAAATGTTCCTCTCACCCTATGTCTACAGTCACCACATACCTCTATCTCGACAGCAGTGAAATGTTCCTCACATCCTATCGCTACAGTCACCACATACCTCTATCTCGACAGCAGTGAAATGTTCCTCACACCCTATCGCTACAATCACCACATACCTCTATCTCGACAGCAGTGAAATGTCCCTCACACCCTATGTCTACAGTCACCACAAACCTCTATCTCGACAGTGGTGAAATGTTCCTCTCACCCTATGTCTACAGTCACCACATACCTCTATCTCGACAGCAGTGAAATGTTCCTCACATCCTATCGCTACAGTCACCACATACCTCTATCTCGACAGCAGTGAAATGTTCCTCACACCCTATCGCTACAATCACCACATACCTCTATCTCGACAGCAGTGAAATGTCCCTCACACCCTATGTCTACAGTCACCACAAACCTCTATCTCGACAGTGGTGAAATGTTCCTCTCACCCTATGTCTACAGTCATCACATACCTCTATCTCGACAGCGGTGAAATGTTCCTCACACCCTATCGCTACAATCACCACATACCTCTATCTCGACAGCAGTGAAATGTTCCACACACCCTATCGCTACAATCACCACATACCTCTATCTCAACAGCGGTGAAATGTTCCTCATACCCTATCGCTACACACACCACATACCTCTATCTCGACAGCAGTGAAATGTTCCTCACACCTATCCCTACAGTCACCACATACCTCTATCTCGACAGCAGTGAAATGTTCCTCTCACCCTATCTCTACAGTCACCACATACCTCTATCTCGACAGTCACCACATACCTCTATCTCAACAGCAGTGAAATGTTCCCCACACCTATCTCTACAGTCACCACATACCTCTGTCTCGACAGGAGTGAAATGTTCCTCTCACCCTATGTCTACAATCACCACATACCTCTGTCTCGACAGTCACCACATACCTCTATCTCGACAGCAGTGAAATGTTCCTCTCTCCCTATGTCTACAGTCACCACATACCTTTATCTCGACAGCAGTGAAATGGTCCTCTCACCCAATGTCTACAGTCACCACATACCTCTATCTCGACAGCGGTGAAATGTTCCCCACACCTATCTCTACAGTCACCACATACCTCTATCTCGACAGCAGTGAAATGTTCCTCTCACCCTATTTCTACAGTCACCACATACCTCTGTCTCTACAGCTGTGTAGCTGAACTTCTTTTTAAGTTTCTTCGGCAAACAAGGGAATATGGTGTTGATGATTGGAGATATCAGCTTTGGGTCCGTGGTGACCGGCTTGCCGTACCCTGTTTTGAAGAAAGGAGCATACACCAGTGACACATTGATAACCGCCACATCGTCACGTTGTCTCGTCACATTACATCATTGTATCGAGTAGGGCAGTTATCACAGAGACTGAGAAGTAAGAGCGATGGAATAGAGCATACCCGTGATGAGACTAACGATGATTCCAACAACTACGTTGACGAAGGCGCCGGTAGCCGTGTAGTAGAGATAAGAGAGGCGGTAGATGCCGAGGTGGTCGTCTCTGAAAACATACATATCATTATGACAGGAAGTCCTGGAGGAGATGGCTCACCCTACAGCCCTACGCAAACATCGGAGACGACGTTCTACCTCTACATCAACCCTGGATATGATGCTCCACCTTGGATATGATGCTCCACCCCTAGACCCACCCTGGATATACTGTTTCACCCCTACACCCTCCCTGGATATCACGTTCCACCTCTACTCCCATGTTTGATATGATGCTCCACCCTTACTCCCACCCTGGATATGCTGTTCCACCTCTACTCCCACCCTGGATATGCAGTTCTACCTCTACTCCCACCCTGGATATGCTGTTCCACCCCTACACCTACCCTGGATATGCTGTTCCACCCCTACACCTACCCTGGATATGACGTTCCACCTCTACTCCCACGCTGGATATGACGTTCCACCCCTACTCGCACCCTGGATATGATGCTCAACCCTGGATATGATGCTCCACCCTTACACCCATCCTGGATATGTTGTTCCACCTCTACTCCCACCCTGGATATGATGCTCCACCCCTATACCCATCCTGGATAAGATGTTCTACCCCTACACTCACTCTGGACATGACGTTCCACCTCTACTCCCACCCTGGATATGCAGTTCCACCTCTACTCCCACCCTGGATATGATGCTGAACCCCTAAACTCACCCTTGACATGACCTTCCATCCCTACTGCCCACTGGGGCAAACTGATCCACCACCGTCTGCGGATTATAGCTCAGGTGTTGGATAGAGTGTATCTAAGAATTTTCGAGGTTTTAGATGACCAGTTTATTCATTGCACCTACACTTTGGTCAACTCGGTATTGTTTGCAGGTGAGGTAGCTGATGTCGGAGCAGTGGAGTTGGTGACGTTCCAGTTGCAGCCATGTACGGAGAAGTGAGACATCGGCGTGTTGACGTCATACATGTAGGCTCCAATAGCCAACCACGACAAGAAGAGAAGTCCGCTTATGTATCCGGACAATGCACCCTGAAACCAAGGATGTTGTATGTTTCCACATGAAGTAGACACAATGTATGGATGTATGGCTAACTACTTGGTTGACAACGGTACAAGGACATATACCGAAACGTCGCTTTACAGTAATGCCTATTAAGCAAGTTATTTCCATATAGTTTATTCACGAATGTTATTCTCACGACCGTTACCTCATGTTGCATATAGACCCACCCCCCCCACCCCCACCCCACCCCACCCACCCGAGTTACTTCAATGAAGAGTGCTTTTTATCCCGACAGTTTCTTATTAGAGGGTGTAACAACCCTAATGGTTGTACTGCAACGTAGCAATCCCAATTATGATATAAAGTGATATGTTGTAATCCTAATGGTTATATTGCTATGTGGCAATCCTAATGGTTATATTGCTATGTGGCAATCCTATATATGGCAAAGCCAAATGGTTATATATGCAGTATAAAGTGATAATGCTAATGGTTATCTGTAGTGTTATGTAGTAATACTCATAATGTTATGTAGTAATACTTATTTTCACAGAGCTGTGTTGTAATCCTAATGCTTAATATAGAGCTGTGTAGTAATTCCTATGTTTATAGTGCTGTGTGACAGAAATTAAGTCATGGTTTGCGCACAACTCAGTATGAAAACTGTTGCGTATGTTACAGTGTATACAACTCACCCATTTATTAGCTCGAGGGAAAAACATTCCCAGGATAAATATTCCAAAGAGCGGTCCATCCAAAGTACTAAGAATGGCATAGGAAATCTGAAATCATGCAACCATCGTTAATATAGGTAATATTGCAGAAGAAATCACGTTTATCCTTTTCTGTTAAGGACACAAGGCAATTTATGAATACTGAGTTATTTGAGTGAGGAGTTTAAGTAAATTTATCAGAATGTTTAAAATAGTGATTTTACCTGCAGTACATTTCCAAGTGTCGACGCAACAAATGCTAGTCCGATGCAGAGAAAGCCAAAACAGGCAGCTGAAACAAATTGAGGCACAGATTAGCTGGAACACAGTAAAATACAGAAGTCTGAAACGCATCCCGACATAGATTAACTGAAAAACATCCTGATACAGAAAAGCTGAAACACATCCAGACACAGATTAGCTGAACCAAATCCAGACACAGATTAGCTGAACCACATCCAGACACATACTGCTCAACCACATCCAGACATAGATTAGCTGAAACACATCCAGACACAGATTAGCTAAACCACATCCAGACACAGATTAGCTGAACCAAATCCAGACACAGATTAGCTGAACCACATCCAGACACATACTGCTCAACCACATCCAGACATAGATTAGCTGAAACACATCCAGACACAGATTAGCTGAACCAAATCCAGACACAGATTAGCTGAACCACATCCAGACACAGATTAGCTGAACCAAATCCAGACACAGATTAGCTGAACCACATCCAGACACATACTGCTCAACCACATCCAGACATAGATTAGCTGAAACACATCCAGACACAGATTAGCTGAACCAAATCCAGACACAGATTAGCTGAACCACATCCAGACACATACTGCTCAACCACATCCAGACACAGATTAGCTGAAACACATCCAGACACAGATTAGGTGAAACACGTCTAGACACAGATTAGCTAAAACACATCCAGACACAGATGAGCTGAAACACATCCAGACACAGATTAGCTGAACCAAATCCAGACACAGATTAGCTGAACCAAATCCAGACACAGATTAGCTGAACCAAATCCAGACACAGATTAGCTGAACCACATCCAGACACAGATTAGCTGGAACACATCCAGACACATACTGCTCAACCACGTCCAGACACAGTTTAGCTAAAACACATCCAGACACAGATTAGCTGAAACACATCCAGACACAGATTAGCTGAAACACATCCAGACACAGATTAGCTGAACCAAATCCAGACACAGATTAGCTGAACCACATCCAGACACATACTGCTTAACCACATCCAGACACAGATTAGCTGAAACACATCCAGACACAGATTAGCTGAACCACATCCAGACACAGATTAGCTCAACCACATCCAGACACAGATTAGCTGAAACACATCCAGACACAGATTAGCTGAACCACATCAAGGCACAGATTAGCTGAAATACATTCAGACACAGATTAGCTGGAACACATCCAGACACATACTGCTCAACCACGTCCAGACACAGTTTAGCTAAAACACATCCAGACACAGATTAGCTGAAACACATCCAGACACAAACTGCTAAAACACGTCCAGACACAGATTAGCTGAAACACATCCAGACACAAACTGCTAAAACACGTCCAGACACAGATTAGGTGAAACACATCCAGACACAAACTGCTAAAACACATCCAGACACAGATTAGCTGAAACACATCCAGACACAAACTGCTAAAACACGTCCAGACACAGATTAGCGGAAACACATCCAGACACATACTGCTCAATCACATCCAGACACAGATTAGCTGAAACACATCCAGACACAGATTAGCTGAACCACATCCAGACACAGATTAGCTGAAACACATCCAGACACAGATTAGCTGAAACACATCCAGACACAGATTAGCTGAACCACGTCCAGACACAGATTAGATGAAACACATCCAGACACAGATTAGCTGAAACACATCCAGAATTGAATATTCACGAGTACATGCTCCCAAAGACGTTTCTTCCTACCAAACTCACCTGAACACTTTGTGATGATTGTAGCTTGAAGGTTGGTGACAGAAGTAAAAGGCCTAATGTAGTCTTGGAGCACCACAGCGGACAGGGCGTTTATACCGGAGGACAACGAGCTGCAGAACAATGATAGCAATATAGTTCACCAATATTAGATACATGGTGAGCGTTGGGGTTGTTCACCAGTAGTAGATAACGTCATTAGACCACCAGTAGTAGATAACGTCATTAGTCCACCAGTTATAGATAACGTCAATAGTTTACCAGTAGCAAATAACGTCAATAGTTTACAGTAGCAAAATAACGTCAATAGTTCACCAGTAGCAAAATAACGTCAATAGTTCAACAGTAGCAAAATAACGTCAATAGTTCACCAGTAATAAATAACGTCAATAGTTCACGAGTAGCAAAATAACGTCAATAGTTCAACAGAAGTAGACAACGCCAATAGTACACCAGTAATAGATAACGTCAATAGTTTACCAGTAGCAAAATAACGTCAATAGTTCACTAGTAGCAAAATAACGTCAGTAGTTCACCAGTAATAAATAACGTCAATAGTTCAACAGTAGCAAAATAACGACAATAGTTCAACAGTAGTAGACAACGCAAATAGTACACCAGTAGTAGATAACGTCAACAGTTCACCAGTAGTAGATAACGTCAATAGTTCACCAGTAGTAGACACCGCCAATAGAAGGCCAGTGCTTGGCAAAGTCAATAGTTTTCCAATAAAAGATAACATCAATAGTTCACGCGAGACTGGCACTATATGGAATATATAAATACCATATTTTTATATTTTAGACTGCCATTGTATTGTATATATAAATATGATATTACTGTACTTGACACTGCCTGTGTATTGTATTTATAAATAAGATATTGCTGTAACTGAGACTGCCTATGTATGGTATTTATAAATATGATATTGCGGTTCATGAGACTACCACTGCTTAGTATCAATGACGCCCTGGTGTGACGTTGATTAATGTTATTTGGATACTTCTATATGTAACGGGTCAGCGTGTGGTTCGAAGTGACAACTAGGAGACGATGGGTTGCAGTATATGCAAATTTACTTTATACAGGTAGATATATACATACGCTATACATATACAAACACTATGGCAGACAATCGATGTACAATACAATGGGGATTAACAATTGGTATAAGCATCTTATAAATAACGGCAATCAAGTGTTTCAAGGCACGTATATGTCATGGCTACAGGCTAATTAGCCTTTGGAATTAAATGTTCATTCAGACAATGGTGTCCCAAATCGGTCGCTACATTGATGTAACTGAGAATGTGACTGCATGGTATATATAAATATGATATTATTTTACCTGAGACTGCCACTGAAGATGCAGGACAGGAAGATACCAGGCAGACCAGGCAGGTGCCCCAGGATGTCCATCACGAATAGAGGGAGTAACTGCAATACAATGTCAAGGTAAGGTTGCCTGCTTGTCTGCCGGAATGACAACGATAGTTCGTGTATCGCGTGAACCATGCAATAGCTCAATTGACCTTTAATAGCATATATCTGGCATGTGGACTCCTGGAAATGATACACATCGAATCTTAATGAATCACTTTGTTCATCATATCTCTTTGCTAAACCCTCTCTCCACGTGACACTGTCACGCGTCTGTGCTGCTGGTGAGGTCATAGAGGGCATGTTTCCCGTCTCTCTCTACATAACACTGTACCTCGTCTGTGCTGAGCATGATGTTATATAAAGAATGATGCTCTCTACATAACACTGTACCTCGTCTGTGCTGAGCATGATGTTATATAAAGAATGATGCTCTCTACGTAACACTGTACCTCGTCTGTGCTGAGCATGATGTTATATAAAGAATGATGCTCTCTACATAACACTGTACCTCGTCTGTGCTGAGCATGATGTTATATAAAGAATGATGCTCTCTACGTAACACTGTACCTCGTCTGTGCTGAGCATGATGTTATATAAAGAATGATGCTCTCTACGTAACACTGTACCTCGTCTGTGCTGAGCATGATGTTATATAAAGAATGATGCTCTCTACATAACACTGTACCTCGTCTGTGCTGAGCATGATGTTATATAAAGAATGATGCTCTCTACGTAACACTGTACCTCGTCTGTGCTGAGCATGATGTTATATGACGAATGATGCTCTCTACATAACACTGTACCTCGTCTGTGCTGAGCATGATGTTATATAAAGAATGATGCTCTCTACATAACACTGTACCTCGTCTGTGCTGAGCATGATGTTATATAAAGAATGATGCTCTCTACATAACACTGTACCTAGTCTGTGCTGAGCATGATGTTATATAAAGAATGATGCTCTCTACATAACACTGTACCTCGTCTGTGCTGAGCACGATGTTATATAAAGAATGATGCTCTCTACATAACACTGTACCTCGTCTGTGCTGAGCATGATGTTATATGACGAATGATGCTCTCTACATAACACTGTACCTCGTCTGTGCTGAGCATGATGTTATATGACGAATGATGCTCTCTACATAACACTGTACCTCGTCTGTGCTGAGCATGATGTTATATAAAGAATGATGCTCTCTACATAACACTGTACCTCGTCTGTGCTGAGCATGATGTTATATAAAGAATGATGCTCTCTACATAACACTGTACCTCGTCTGTGCTGAGCATGATGTTATAAAACGAATGATGCTCTCTACATAATCCTTTACCTCGTCTGTGCTGAGCATGATGTTATATGACGAATGATGCTCTCTACATAACACTGTACCTCGTCTGTGCTGAGCATGATGTTATATGACGAATGATGCTCTCTACATAACACTGTACCTCGTCTGTGCTGAGCATGATGTTATATGACGAAGGATGCTCTCTACATAACACTGTACCTCGTCTGTGCTGAGCATGATATTATATGACGAATGATGCTCTCTACATAACACTGTACCTCGTCTGTGCTGAGCATGATATTATATGACGAATGATGCTCTCTACATAACACTGTACCTCGTCTGTGCTGAGCATGATGTTATATGACGAATGATGCTCTCCACATAACACTGTACCTAGTCTGTGCTGAGCATGATGTTATATGACGAATGATGCTCTCTGCATAACACTGTACCTCGTCTGTGCTGAGCATGATGTTATATGACGAATGATGCTCTCTACATAACACTGTACCTCGTCTGTGCTGAGCATGATGTTTATGACGAATGATGCTCTCTACATAACACTGTACCTCGTCTGTGCTGAGCATGATGTTATATGACGAATGATGCTCTCTACATAACACTGTACCTCGTCTGTGCTGAGCATGATATTATATGACGAATGATGCTCTCTACATAACACTGTACCTCGTCTGTGCTGCTGATGAGGTTATACCGCAGGGGATGACAGTCTTTATAGAAGGCATACATAACAACACCGATGAGGCAGCAGAGACTGACTATGGCAGCAAGCCCCAGGGCGTTAATCCATATTGCACTGAAAACAAGAAACAGAAATGTGCTGGTGATTACGGTAACAATAATGATATAGATGACGTGTTCCTAGATAGCATGGAATATTCCTGACACGACGCAACATGTCCTCATAGCAGGCAGAATATATGATTTAGAAGTTTTGACCGTCCCAACATTACACTCCTTAGTCATTCGCATCACGTCGTAGCATAGAGTAAACTCCGCATAGTCATGATCCATTCATAACATACACCACATTCGTTAAGCCTGATCATCCACACAAAGCTTACGCTACACTCTTAAAGCCTTATCATCCACAAAAAGCATACGCCACACTCCTGAAGCCTTATCATCCACACATAGCATTCGCCACACTCTTGAGGCCTTATCATCCTCACAATGGATATGCCACATTCCTTAAGCCTCATCATCCACACATAGCATACGCCGCACTTTTGAAGCCTTATCATCCACACAAAGCATGCGCCACACGTTTGAAGCCTTATCATCCACACAAAGCATACGCCACACTCTTGAAGCCTTATCATCCCAATGGATTCAATACTCTCTCCGAACCTTAACATCCATTCATAACACACTGTACACTCCCCGATGTTATTACTTCACTCATAACATATTGCACACTCCCCTACGTTATTACTTCATTTATAACATACTGCACACTCCCCGATGTTATTACTTCACTCATAACATACCGCACACTCCCCGATGTTATTACTTCATTCATAACACACTGCACACTCCCCGATGTTATTACTTCACTCATAACAAACTGCACACTCCCCGATGTTATTACTTCACTCATAACACACTGCACACTTCTCGATGTAATTACTTCACTCATAACACACTGCACACTCCCCGATGTTATTACTTCACTCATAACAAACTGCACACTCCCCGATGTTATTACTTCACTTATAACACACTGCACACTCCCCGATGTTATTACTTCACTCATAACACACTGCACACTCCCCGATGTTATTACTTCACTCATAACATACTGCACACTCCCCGATGTTATTAATTCACTCATAACACACTGCACACTCCCCGATGTTATTACTTCACTCATAACATACTGCACACTCCCCGATGTTATTACTTCACTCATAACACACTGCACACTCCCCGATGTTATTACTTCACTCATAACACACTGCACACTCCCCGATGTTATTACTTCACTCATAACACACTGCACACTCCCCTATGTTATTACTTCATTCATAACATACTGCACACTCCCCGATGTTATTACTTCATTCATAACATACTGCACACTCCCCGATGTTATTACTTCACTCATAACACACTGCACACTCCCCGATGTTATTACTTCACTCATAATATACTGCACACTCCCCGATGTTATTACTTCACTCATAACACACTGCACACTCCCCGATGGTATTACTTCATTCATAACACACTGCACACTCCCCTATGTTATTACTTCACTCATAACATACTGCACACTCCCCGATGTTATTACTTCACTCATAACACACTGCACACTCCCCGATGTTATTACTTCACTCATAACACACTGCACACTCCCCGATGTTATTACTTCATTCATAACATACTGCACACTCCCCGATGTTATTACTTCATTCATAACATACTGCACACTCCCCGATGTTATTACTTCACTCATAACACACTGCACACTCCCCGATGTTAGAACTTCATTCATAACATACTGCACTCTCCCCGATGTTATTACTTAACTCATAACACACTGCACACTCCCATATGTTATTACTTCATTCATATCATACTACACACTCCCCGATGTTATTACTTCACTCATAACATACTGCACACTCCCCGATGTTATTACTTCACTCATAACATACTGCACACTCCCCGATGTTATTACTTCACTCATAACATACTGCACACTCCCCGATGTTATTACTTCACTCATAACAAACTGCACACTCCCCGATGTTATTACTTCACTCATAACATACTGGACACTCCCCGATGTTATTACTTCATTCATAACAAACTGCAAACTCCCCGATGTTATTACTTCATTCATAACATACTGCACACTCCCCGATGTTATTACTTCACTCATAACATACTGGACACTCCCCGATGTTATTACTTCACTCATAAAATACTGCAAACTCCCCGATGTTATTACTTCATTCATAACATACTGCACACTCCCCGATGTTATTACTTCATTCATAACACACTGCACACTCCCCGATGTTATTACTTCATTCATAACATACTGCACACTCCCCGATTTTATTACTTCACTCATAACATACTGCACACTCCCCGATGTTATTACTTCACTCATAACACACTGCACACTCCCCGATGTTATTACTTCACTCATAACACACTGCACACTCCCCGATGTTATTACTTCACTCATAACACACTGCACACTCCCCTATGTTATTACTTCATTCATAGCATACTGCACACTCCCCGATGTTATTACTTCACTCATAACATACTGCACACTCCCCGATGTTATTACTTCACTCATAACATACTGCACACTCCCCGATGTTATTACTTCACTCCTAACACACTGCACACTCCCCGATGTTATTACTTCATTCATAACATACTGCACACTCCCCGATGTTATTACTTCACTCCTAACACACTGCACACTCCCCGATGTTATTACTTCATTCATAACATACTGCACACTCCCCGATGTTATTACTTCATTCATGACATACTGCACTCTCCCCGATGTTATTACTTCACTCATAACATACTGCACACTCCCCGATGTTATTACTTCACTCATAACATGCTGCACACTCCCCGTTGTTATTACTTCACTCATAATATACTGCACACTCCCCGATGTTATTACTTCACTCATAGCATACTGCACACTCCCCGATGTTATTACTTCATTCATAACAAACTGCACACTCCCCGATGTTATTACTTCACTCATAACATACTGCACACTCCCCGATGTTATTACTTCACTCATAACATACTGCACACTCCCCGATGTTATTACTTCACTCATAACATACTGCACACTCCCCGATGTTATTACTTCACTCATAACACACTGCACACTCCCCGATGTTATTACTTCATTCATAACACACTGCACACTCCCCGATGTTATTACTTCATTCATAACATACTGCTCACTCCCCGATGTTATTACTTCACTCATAACATACTGCACACTCCCCGATGTTATTAATTAACTAATCAACTGATCGAACTATCATAGCATATACTACACTCTTTGTATTACAGTGCACTCTCATTTCGTTTATATGATATAATATATCCTCATGCCATTCCTCAACATACATTCATGATAATGACCGACAGACCACCATGCCTCTCATTCATGTGAAGTCAGCAGTAAATGTGTTCCTACATCTGGGCCTTCCTGAGCGTGGGACAGGCGAGGAGTCGCTGTATCTGGCACTGGTTGACGGCATAGTAGGACATCCACATCATGCCGCCCCCCACAGCCACGGACCAGAAGGAGTGCCGCGTCGTGGGGTTCACGCTGAAACTAAGGCAAACAGAGGCACATCTGGGTTACTTAAAATAACATTTCTCGTGCCAGATAAAAGCATCACCAGACTTATTGACATTTGCAGACAGTCCATGTTACAGCTAAACACAAAATAATATGTTGGACGTTTGCAGACAGTTCTTGCTGCAGCGGAAAACAATACATAATTTTGACGTTTATAGACAGTCCAAGTTACCGCTAAATACAAAATATTATATTGGACGTTTGCAGACAGTCCATGATGCAGCTAAATACAAAAGAACACATTTGACGATTGCAGACAGTTCTTGTTGCAGCTGACAATGCCATCCTTACTCATCGAAGTAGACCCGGCTGTGTTCACTGGCTATTTCCCACGCATTCTTGAGGCCGTCTGTGACAACAGTGCCTTGGATGAAGGCAGACAACAGCCCGACAAGGATGAGGACGGCCTGGAAGCTGTCTGCCCACAGAACAGCCTTCATCCCACCCTGGGGCAACAGAAACGTCGTAAACATTACACCAACACAAACACAAATTACACCAAGCACACAAAACACAAACACAAAATACTATACACAAAGACACACACAAACACGCACAAATACACACGCGCGTCATACACATATCATAAACATTCCACAACCCACACAATTCATAAGCATTAGACCTCACACCAACGCACGCCATAGGCATTACTCCCCTCACACAAACAGGAGCATTCATTTAGGAGCACTGCAACATACAAACACACGTCATTTAAATTACAACACACACAATAATCACTGCGCCACAGAAACACACTCAATGAACCTTGCACACAACAAACACAAACACATTTCCTGAACATTACACCATACACCGAAACAGGCGTCATAAGTATTATTCTACTCACACAAACACACATCATAAGTGTAACTCCACACACATAAACACATATCATAAGCGTTACTCCACACACACACGACAAAAGTATAACACCACACACACAAACAGACGTCATAAGTAATACTCTACATTAACAAACACACACACACACGCGTGCGTGTCATAATCGATATTTTACATACAAACACAAACACATGTAATCAGCGTTACTCTATACACCCAAACAAAGGTCATAAGCGTTACTTGATACACAGTATTATTCCACACACACACACACGTCACAAGTATTATTACACACACACACACGCACACACGCACGCACACACACGCACGCACACACACGCACGCACACACACACACACACACACACACACACACACACACACACACACACACACACACACACACACACACGCACATCCTATAAGTGTTACTCTCCATTGGCTAACACACGTCAAAAGCATTACTTCACACACACAAATACACAGAAGTATAACTCTACACATACAAACACACATCATAAGTATAACTGCACATACACCAACACACATCATGAGCATTACGCCACACACACAAACGCACGTCATAAGCATTACTCCACATGTGTGAGATATGATGGCTATACCAGTGACTTCTTCCAAGTCCAACAAAGTGTTGGCCAAGGCGGAGTTGATGTTTCTTATCTTTATTGATGTTTTGACAACTAGCCTAGAAACCAACAAAAGGGTTTTATCATTTGAAGTGAACTTGTATCTACAGTATTACTGGCAGATGATGCAACATCAGTAGATTGTACAACACAGGTCTCCAGTTGTCGCTTGACGTAATTCATCAATACGCCTGTCAATGGCGTTTATCATACAATGCGCAGAAAAGCTGTGTCAAATATACAGGCGGTCACAAAGTTGAAAAAGACGTTACATTGAAACTTCGCAGAACTGAACTGCCAGTAAAAGAGAGTACTTTGCACACAGGCTCTCTAAAGACCACATAGAAAGTGCGCTAAAAGCAAGACGTACCATTGCTTCTCTCAGAGATAGTGGGTTAAAAGCCGGGTTTCAAATCCACTGACCAGTGTTCAAATATGGCGGCGTGTTGTTCTCCCAAGCGCCCTCTATGCTTGGGAACTATGGGCAAACATCATCAAAATAACTCAAAATAACTAATGAATTAGAACTACTGGAACCCCACTTCGCCAGATCAATACAGAACTTTCCCAAAAGATCCCCAACTGATGTAACTACTCAAACTCTTGGTCTCTGGACAATGGAAGCAGTGATTGATAAGACTAAATCTCGGTAGACTCTGTAGAGGTAAAGCAGATTATTTTGTTAAAACCCTAGTTTACATTAAAATAGGACAGTACGTAACCAACCGTGTCTCAGACACATCTGTTGTCCATGATCTGCTAGGCATTGCTAAAAGAACAAGCTCTTCCATTTCATACAAACGTATCTCACTGAGGGCATTTCCCACCAAAGACAACATGGAAAGGAATCGTTAATAACACGGTAGCTCGACTTGAAAGACAGAAATGGATAGAAAAGGTGTCTACATGCCAAGAACTGAAACGTTTTCATATGATACATGAAAGACTAGCTCCACACAGATTGTGGAATATGTGTGACCTTTACAACATGAATAGCAGGCCAATATATGCCCTAGTTAAACTAGGTATTTTACCCATAACAACTGGTGTATGTATGATATGCGAAGAAGAATGTAACGATGTTGTACTGCACCAGTCTGTAAAGTGTGACAGTCTGGTGCAAGGAAGAAATAACCTCTGTTGAAACTGTTTGATTAACTGTACCTTAACCAATATCTTGAAATAGAAGATTGTGCAGACAACGAGGGGAGAGTTGTGACACGACGTGGTGGCATTACGGCTCTTCGAGAGACGTCATAAGATAAGCATTACTCTACGCACACACATAAACATACACTGCATACACTTTACATGGTGGTTGTAGGCTAGTGTTTCTGTAATCTTAGATGAGGAATTACAATTATTTAATGTGAACAATATAAATATTTGTTATTCCTAATGCATGATATTTACGACACGGAAGCACGCGAAGACTACATCTTTATTGTATATGTCATTCTTATATCAGTCCAAGTCATGGACTTTCATTACTTTCTTTCCTTGAAGTAACGTTCGTATCCCCACGTGAATACAGCACTTTGTGACCTGCCCCATGTATCAGGTAGTGCCAAAGCATTTGCAGACATGTTGTTTCACACAAGCACTGGAATTCCTTCTTTACAGTATTGTGCATGTTTTGCAATAGGTTCAACACTTTCACGATTTATCAGGTAGATATTTCCACGTTGTCCACGTTCAAAACAATTAATAAAAACGTGGATAGGGCGTAGGATCTTTAGCCTGCGCGGCCTGTACTGCAGACAATAGTACGTGTGTGTGTCGTCTGTGCCTCATTCGTCCCGTCCTCTAAGCGTTCTCAGTTGATCAACTCAATACAAGCGTGCCTCATACACCGCCCTCGCCACCTCGCCGGGCGTCTATCCCGTCCTTAACACGCTTTTGGTATTTCAGTTCCACGTACTAATAGTTTGCAAGTAGACCATCCCGGAATTTACACGACGTCATCACGAGCTATAAATATCTGACGAAAAACTGACGATCTCCATTCCGTACCTGGCCGTTCTAGGACGCACATCTAGGAAGTTTTTAACTCAAGTCATCATAGTAGTCAACATAGTAGGGATAATTTATGGATAACTTCTTCATTTACTGTAAAGGCGACGTTTCGGTATAAATCCTTATTCAGCCTTGCTGGACAACGGTATAAGGTTCTACACTGAAACGCCGCCTTTACAGTAAATAAAGAAGTTGTTATCCATAAATATATGTCTACATTGTCATTCGTCAACTTCTAAGTAATGCCTATCAAATAATTCATCAAGTCAAGCAGTTGAAGTTGCGACAAACTGCATAGGACCTGCTCAGGTCGTAGTCGGAACGTCTTAGTCATGCGAGAATCGTACTCGAGTTGCAATGTCGATGCTGGTCCGTGTATGAAGTTCTCACACCGACGCTGCAGACTGCCGGTACGTTCATCACACAAGGTGGTTGACATGACTGCCATGCGCCGACCTCGCTGCGTCCTCACCCTCGCAGAACCATGCCGATTGTGTTACTGTACCTGACGGCCTCTTCCTGACAGGGTACTCACCATCGATGTGAATAGAGTGTCTAATCATGGTAGGGTACTCACCATCGATGTGAACAAAGTGTCTAATCCTGGTAGGGTACTCACCATCGATGTGAACAGAGTGATTAATCTTGGTTTGGTTCTAACCATGGATGTGAACAGAGTGATTAATCTTTATTGGGTTCGAACCATGGATGTGAACAGAGTGACCAATCCTGGGAGGATACTCATCATCAATGGTAACGGAATGACCAGTCACGACAGAGTACTCACCATTGATTTGAACAGAGTGACCAATCCTGTGAGGATACTCATCATCAATGGTAACGGAATGACCAGTCACGACAGAGTACTCACCACTGATTTGAACAGAGTGACCAATCATGGTTTGGGGCTAACCATCAACACTTACAGGATGACCAGTGCTTGCAAGATACTCACCATTGACGTGTACAGAGTGACCAGACCGCCAACTGTCAGGATGGACACCCAAAGCTCCATGCCGGTCACTGCAATAAGAAGCGTTGTACTAATTAGACATTTGCAAAGTTGTCACATACAAATCACAAAGTTGACAAATATAGAAATACAATGTAGGTAGAAACGGTACACCATTTGCTCCGAAACACAATAGCACTTGACCCAATACACAATGCCAAGTAATAATATACCCAATAATACATGTTGCCAAACAGTGCACCATCTGGTCAGATACCAACATCACGTGATCAGATACAGTGCACCATCTGGTCAGATACCAACATCACGTGATCAGCAACAGAACTCCAACTGGTCAGATACCAACATCACGTGATCAGCAGCAGAACTCCAACTGGTCAGGTACCAATACCACGTGATCAGATACAGTATAACCCTTGGTCTGATACTAATACCACGTGATCAGATACAGTATAATATTTGTTATGATACTAATACCGCGTGATCAGATACAGAACTCCAACTGGTCAGGTACCAATACCACGTGATCAGATACAGTATAACATTTGGTCTGATACTAATACCACGTGATCAGATACAGTATATTATTATGCCTTACAGTGAGATTGAACTACTGACCCCACATGAGCCCGTATACCGTCAGTTAAAATCTAAGATGGATGATACTAACCAAATTGAGACCGTTTACCGTCAGTAACAGCCATTTTGAATTTTCGAACACCAACCTCACATATTTCACATTTCACAGAAATACAATGTAGTCAGAAACACTACACCATTTGCTCCGAAACACAATAGCACTTGATCCAATACACAATGCCAAGTAATAATATACCGATTATAACATGGTGTCAAACAGTGCACCATCTGGTCAGATACCAATACCACGTGATCAGATACAGTACACCCACTGGTCAGATACCAATACCACGTGATCAAATACAGTACGCCCACTGGGCAGATACCAATACCACGTGATCAGGGACAGTATGATATTTGGTCTGATACTAATACCATGTGGTCAGATAGAGAATACCACGTCGTCAGATCAGTATACCATCTACCATATACTAATACTAATACAGAAAGGCATGTTGTTAGGTACAAAAAAACTCTGTGTTAGATACGGAAAACCAAGTTGCGAGACTGAGAATACAATATGGTGGGACAATACCGTATTGTTAAATAAAGATTACTATGGTGTTAGATGCAGAATGTCATGTTATTAGGACGGGCGTAAAATATATTGTAACTTGGGCATTTGTGTTTACACAAACAATGTCAACAAGTGGCAGGTGTGACACTTGTCATAACCTCAGGTTCTCACGTGTCATAACAAGTTCCAGGCACAACAGTAAGTTAGATGTGATGGCTTCATTCACCTAAGGGTGTTCACAATCATTGATTCTCTCAAACATAAACAACGCGCTGTAATAAAGTTCCTACCAAGGAGGGATGCAAAGCAAACTGAATCCATGATCGCATGTCTAAGGTGATAGTTAAGGATGCTCCTGACTATTCCACAGTTTGCCGTTGGTCTCTACAGTATCAAAGGGGTAGGGAGTCCATAGACGATGACCCAAGCTCAGGCAGGCCTTCAGATGCCACCCAACCTGAAACCATTGATGCTATAGAAAAAGGAATTTTGTCTGACCGACGAGCGAAAGTATTTTTTTAACTTTCTAGGGAATTCCAAAAATCAGTTGGAACTGTTGAAACCGTTATTCATGAGCATCTTGGTATGTCTAAGGAATCTACAAGATGGGTACCTAGAAACCCCAGCGCTCAAGATCGATATCAGAGAACTGAAAGTTGTCGAGAACTCCTGGATCTCTTTACTGCTGATGAAGCCTGATTTCCTTCTTGTCTGGTGACAGGTGATGATCTCGTCCAGTGACAGGTGATGATCTCGTCTAGTGACAGGTGATTATCTCGTCTAGTGACAGGTGATGATCTCGTCTAGTGACAGGTGATGAAACATGGATCCACCACTGGGAACCGTAAACTAAATTGGAATCAATGCAATGGAAGCACCCCAATTCTCAGCCTCCAAGGAAGTTTCGCACTCAACCATCGGCTGGCAAGGTAATGGCTACCATATTTTGGGATGCAAGAGGCACATTACTGATTGATTACATGCCACCCAAAACTACAATCAATGGACAGTATTATGCTAATGTAATGAAAGAATACGAAAATCTATTCGCCAGAAACGCCGTGGGATGTTAATACGTGGTATTCTACTTTTGCATGACAACGCTCCGGTTCACAAGTCGAGAATTGCACAGGCCGCCATATGTGAATGTGGATTCGAACAGTTAAATCACCCACCTTACAGCCCAGACTTAGCCCCCAGTGAATATTTCCTGTTCCGACAAATGAAATCTGCCCTACGTGGAAGACGCTTCCAGGATGACGAGGACATAAAGGCTGCCACAGAGACGTGGTTAGAGGGCCAATTTGCGGATTTCTATAAAAGTGGTATTAAAAGCTAGGAATAAGTGCAATGAGGTGAATGGAGATTATAATGAAAAATAAAAGTGCAAAAGATATTCTGCGACTTGGTCCTATAGTGAACCTTATTGAACGCCCCTCGTAGATACAGAATACTTTGGTATGAGATACAGAATAGCATGTTGTTTCATACAGAATACTTTGGTGTTAGGTACGTAATACCACGTGGCAGATGCATAAGACCCTAAGGTATACACACAATAGCATCTGTTCAGATGTACAGTTCATGTGGTAGATATAAGAGGAAATATAATGTGTTAATTTTCTATTTTGTTTTGACTATGTTGCAAGGCGTGACAGCCTTTGAGCCCTCTTTCAGCGGGAGTAATGCTATGCAACAGATTGCCACACGTTACCTGATTTCAGGGCTAAAGACGGCGCGTAGAGCACAAATGAGAGGTAGACAATCTGAAATGGAGTAAAATCATGATTATTACGGTTACTCGTCGTCTGCGATATTTCATTGGTAGCAATGTAAAACAATTCACAATACATGTACCATGAATACCCTGTACCACAGTTTTATTGACAAGACATTTATATATATATATATATATATATATATATATATATATATATATATATATATATATATATATATATATATATATATATATATATATATATATGCTGTACCTGCTGAGATAAATAACGCAGTAATGAAAAAAACCAAACTGTTTGAAATAACCAGACGTAACATGGTCTGCAAAGCATTGTGATCCAAGTTCAACAATTGACAATACATTACTATACCCACTGTTTGAAATAACCAGTTGAGAGACGCTAGCATCGTGACAGCTCTCCCAAATCTCATCTCAAGGTACTGGAAACAAGATTTCAGACATGAAATGGAATGTCCATGATGTTTTATAACATCTAGGCAGGCCAAGGAATGAATTGTTACCGAATAACGTATAAAGAATACTACACTCATTCTCGTTAGATACCATTTTTACGAAACGAGTGGACTTCCTATGGTATCTGATCGAGCGAAAGCGTTTCGTAAAAATGGTATCTAACGAGAATTAGTATGGTATTTTATTTATTTCCCAAGTCAAAATATGCATTGAAGTGTAAAAATTTAAAAAACTTTCTTTCGTTGACAGATTAAACTGAAACCGGTTGCAAATCTGGTTGCGCATGAATATTGATATATGCCCAAATATGGGCATTATTGACATTTCTATGCATACGCATTAACAACATGTTCCTGCTGTTGTGTGTGTTCTGTTATTGTTCGCATTTGGGATGTTCTGGGCCACAAAATTAGAAGTCAGGCACACTTCCACGGAGTTTTTAAATGATTTGTATCGGAACTGTTCACTTTGAGTGATCTGGTCGTGCAGTCGTGTATGTTTATTCATGAACAAACACCTCACGAAACAATGCCACAAAATACGCTTCGAAGGGGGCACAACCAGAGCATCCAACGTAAGTCAAGATATATACCGTACAGCATTGAAAACGCACCACCATGAAAATGGATGTATTTTTATCCGGGCTTAAATATATAAGTGAATGAGTAATAGACGACGTTCTGGACGAAGAATGAAGAAGAACAGCTGGTCAAAACACATTCCTAAATTTTTGTGTGAGCGAAATCGCCAAAACGCAATAAATTGCGTGCACATCATGGAAAACGTGTTTTGTTTCACGGGAAGCATGCAGAATAGGGCTATAAAAGACAGACTTTTAAAAGCCACATCACTTGTTGCTGCAGACGTAAAGGGTACTGACACAAGAAATGCCAAGATTAACAGCAGAGGAACGTGAACGTGCCTTGGGCATGCTTCAAGGTGGTACGTCAAGGGAGTGTCATGGTGTGGGGCGGCATCAGTCATAACCATCGAACAGAGCTCCATGTTTGTCATGGAAGAGTTAATGCCCTTTACTACTGTAAAAACATATTGGCAAATCACGTCATCCCATTCTTTCATCAGCACCAGGATATGCACACCTTCCAGCAAGATAATGCAAGAGCGCACTCAGCACGCGTTTCAACACAGTACCTATCAAACAATAATGTGCCTCTGCTTCCATGGCCAGCCATGTCACCCGATCTATCGCCAATTGAACATCTATGGGATTACCTGGGTCAACGCCTCTCACGTCGTCCGCAAGTATAGAACCTGAGAGAACTTGAAGATACACTACGTCAAGAGTGGAATGCCCCGGAACACTATTCGCAGACTTATTCGATCAATGAGAAGACGTTGCATGGCCTGTGTTGCCGTCAATGGCGGACATACCTGATATTGACTTTTCATTTTAACCCTATGTGTCTTCCTTACACTGATGACGTAATTGTAATTACTGTGTGGTATTCCTGTTTCCTTTGTCGTCTTTCTTAATAATCCGTCTATGTCTGTGCTAATTCAAAATCGGCCATTGCTCAAGTTGTTTTTGTAATATTTCAAGATTTATTGCTGGTGCGTTTTCAATGCTGTTCAGTATATATCCAGATAGTTAAAACTGACTTCATTTCACCACGCTTATCCTTTTATGTTAAATTAAATTGAAAGTCGAGAAAGTGGTTGGGTGCGTCACGCTCATAGGGACCCTCGATCGATGGGTAGTAGAACATGGACTCGATTATATGATGTCTGTACTAGCTCTGTGCATAACTAATACAGGATGCAAAGCGAAGTTGATGCGTGTGACTATCTTGTTTGGTTTAGTAAAGTGCGTGTAAATGTCTCTCACTTTCATGAGATTGCTTCAGTTCTGCATTGTAGTTGCAAATAGAATGACGATAAGTCGAGGGCATACTTGCACGACACACATGTGACGTACGGAGTTAGTATCTTACCACCTGTATCTTCACCACGTGGGTAATAAATAACTTTACGTATCTTACAATTAGACAGCCGATTATTCGTGAAAAACATTCTCGTATAACATATCAGAATGACTACTTCACTGATCTTACCTCATACACACTAGTAATGCCCATATTGTAGAACACTGGGTTAAAGAGATAAGCTGCTCCCGCCACTGCCAGAATCATGCCTAGAGCCAGCCACCAGAACATCGTGTTGTAGTTGTAGATCTCGGCGGGCATCCCTAGCAAGGTCAAGGCCGAAAGGAACGTCACAATCAAGGACAAGGACACCGGGAGTATGCCCATACTTCTTCCGGCAACCAGGAAGTCAGATGGGTCTTGTCTATGTCTGCTCTGAATAGCATAATATATTCCAATAAAGAGCGCGACAGAGAGTGTAGAGCCAAACACAACAAAGTCCACCACTCCCAGTGTCTTCGTCACTCCAGTCTGGATGCTGTAGGACGTCTCCATGTTTGATGGCTCACAAAGACTTGCTTTCAATGCCTTCTTTTGATGCCTCCCATAGACACACAAACTAAAACTTCAAAACCTTCTTGCGATGCCTCCTCTAGACTGTATCAACAAGTGAGACCTTAACGCCAACTGTTGATAGCTCCCCTCGACTTTACACACCACGAACTATTCAAGGCCCTCAGGTGATAGCTTCGGTAGATATAACACACAATCAATGCTTCACGTCCCTCCTTTCAGGGATCCCTTGGATCACATGTTTCCCGATTCTGAAATGATAAAGGAAAATGTGGCGTTTTCAAACATAAGGCCGAACGCAGCATACAATGAAGGATGGTTATCGCTACAGAATATACTGGACAGACCAGTCATTCATACTGTGAGCAGCGGAGTACGATGACACGCAATCAACCAGCCACTGACCACTCGATCCAATAAAAAATTGAAAAAGATTGTTTGCCACAGCAGCATGTTTGGTGGGTATCTAATCTAACACCACAGGGCATGTTGATATCTCCATCCTCATCCCAAAACTAACAAGCCCTGGGTGGTAAAGGTGTGTTAGGTCTGCCACTTCATCATGTTTTCAGCGTCTAGAGCTGCCACTTTGTCCACGGTGTGTTTGCACTACTTAATCATGCCTTCCGCATCTTCAGGCTGCTATTACACACGTTTTCCTCTGTTTAGCCTGCCACTTAGTCATGTTTCCGTGTGTTTATCCGGCTAACTTAGTCATGTTTCCGTGTGTTTAGCCTGCCACTTAGTCATGTTTTCGTCTGTTTATCCTGCCACTTAGTCATGTTTCCGTGTGTTTATCCTGCCACTTAGTCATGTTTCCGTGTGTTTAGCCTGCCACTTAGTCATGTTTCCGTGTGTTTATCCTGCCACTTAGACATGTTTCCGCGTGTGTTTATCCTGCCACTTAGGCATGTTTCCGTGTGTTTATCCTGCCACATAGACATGTTTCCGCGTGTGTTTATCCTGCCACTTAGTCATGTTTTTCGTGTGTTTATCCTGCCACTTAATCATATTTCCGTGTGTTTATCCTGCCACTTAGTCATATTTCCGTGTGTTTATCCTGCCACTAAGTCATGTTTCCGTGTGTTTATCCTGCCACATAGACATGTTTCCGCGTGTGTTTAGCCTGCCACTTAGTCATGTTTCCGTGTGTTTAGCCTGCCACTTAGTCATGTTTCCGTGTGTTTATTCTGCCACTTAATCATGTTTCCGTGTGTTTATCCTGCCACTTAGTCATGTTTCCGTGTGTTTATCCTGCCACATAGACATGTTTCCGCGTGTGTTTAGCCTGCCACTTAGTCATGTTTCCGTGTGTTTATCCTGCCACTTAGTCATGTTTCCGTGTGTTTATCCTGCCACTTAGTCATGTTTTCGTCTGTTTATCCTGCCACTTAGTCATGTTTCCGTGTGTTTATCCTGCCACTTAGTCATGTTTCCGTGTGTTTATCCTGCCACTTAGTCATGTTTCCGTATGTTTATTCTGCCACTTAATCATATTTCCGTGTGTTTATCCTGCCACTTAGTCATATTTCCGTGTGTTTATCCTGCCACTTAGTCATGTTTCCGTGTGTTTATCCTGCCACATAGACATGTTTCCGCGTGTGTTTAGCCTGCCACTTAGTCATGTTTTCGTCTGTTTATCCTGCCACTTAGTCATGTTTCCGTGTGTTTATTCTGCCACTTAATCATGTTTCCGCGTGTGTTTAGCCTGCTACTTAGTCATGTTTCCGCGTCTGATTATCCTGCCACTTAGACATGTTTCCGTGTGTTTATCCTACCACTTAGTCATGTTTCCGTGTGTTTATCCTGCCACTTAGTCATGTTTCCGTGTGTTTATCCTGCCACTTCTTTCCGTGTGTTTAGCCTGCCACTTAGTCATGTTTCCGTGTGTTTAGCCTGGCACTTAGTCATGTTTCCGTGTGTTTATCCTGCCACTTGTTTCCGTGTGTTTATCCTGCCACTTAGTCATGTTTCCGTGTGTTTAGCCTGCCACTTAGTCATGTTTCCGTGTGTTTATCCTGCCACTTAGTCATGTTTCCGCGTGTGTTTAGCCTGCTACTTAGTCATGTTTCCGCGTCTGATTATCCTGCCACTTAGACATGTTTCCGTGTGTTTATCCTACCACTTAGTCATGTTTCCGTGTGTTTATCCTGCCACTTAGTCATGTTTCCGTGTGTTTATCCTGCCACTTAGACATGTTTCCGCGTGTGTTTATCCTACCACTTAGTCATGTTTCCGTGTGTTTATCCTGCCACTTAGTCATGTTTCCGTGTGTTTAGCCTGCTACTTCGTCATGTTTCCGTGTGTTTAGCCTGCTACTTCGGCATGTTTCCGTGTGTTTAGCCTGCTATTTCGGCATGTTTCCGTGTGTTTAGCCTGCCACTTAGTCATGTTTCCGTGTGTTTAGCCTGCTACTTAGGCATGTGTACCGTGTGTTTAGCCTGCTACTTCGGCATGTTTCCGTGTGTTTAGCCTTCTACTTCGGCATGTTTCCGTGTGTTTATCCTGCCACTTAGTCATGTTTCCGTGTGTTTAACCTGCTACTTAGACATGTTTCCGTGTGTTTAGCCTGCTACTTCGGCATGTTTCCGTGTGTTTAACCTGCCACTTAATCTTGTTTACGTGTGTTTATCCTGCCACTTAGTCATGTTTCTATGTGTTTATCCTGCCACTTAGTCATGTTTTCGCGTGTGTTTAGCCTGCCACTTAGACATGTTTCCGTGTGTTTAACCTGACACTTAGTCATGTTTCCGTGTGTGTTTATCCTGCCACTTAGTCATGTTTCCGTGTGTTATCCTGCCACTTAGACATGTTTCCGCGTGTTTAGCCTGCCACTTAGTCATGTTTCCGCGTGTCTTTAGCCTGCCACTTAGTCATGTTTTTTGGTGTAACAAATGTTATATTTCGGACAACATATTCTTTGTAAAGTAGGGATTCGAGTACTTTTTCGAGTTGAATCCCATCCGGGATTTGAGGTGGTGAGTTGAGGTGAAATTGGGTTTAACGTCGCGTCCAAGATTATTTCACTTATGCAGCAACGCGCATGCACATGTGTATGTGTGGCTGCTTGTACTAGTCCGCACTGATGCCGATTTATAGAGCTACCACACTGAGATGCCGTGCCCGAGCCACGCTCTAACACTAGACAACGGACGCGGGATTTGAACCCACACTCACAGAGTAAGGTACCTAATCGCAAGCACACACAGCCACTCTTATACAAAATGACAACTGGTAGTCTCTAGATCACGTACTTTGTGTACCCCCGACCAATGTAAATTGGCCCGGCTCCCGTAGCCAAAAACTATGAACACACTATGCCATTCAGAAAGTGGTTAAATGTAACAAATGTTATATTTGGGATAACACAAAGTACGTGATCTATCAGGTGCCACCATGGTATGGAAGGTGTATGGGGTACATGGAAGGTGGATGGCATATATTACTAATGTGATGTGTACCACAGTATGTAAAAACATATTATGTATGGTTGGCATTTTTTGGAAGCTAGTAAGTAACAGTATGGACAACAGCTGATAGATATAGGTAGAATGAAGAAGTTGTAAAAAACTATCATGTCTCTAATTATCTTGTACCAAAGAAGGCCACTAGAGGTTCTCAATGTACAAAACGTCTTTTCGTTGGCGGTTCAGTGAGATGCTAAAAAATCAGTGGGTGATGACTTCAAAGTACAAAACAGTTTAAGTGTATTACCTTCCAGCTTGCCGCCGCCGCTAAAGAGACCCGCTGTAAGACCGTCAGTGGTCGCCACCCCTGGGGCGCGTGTATATATACCAAGGGTCAACCACGCCGCCCATTGGTTCGCGATGACAGGCAGTAGGCAATCAACATGAAACAGTTTCGTCATCAGCGTCGTATTGCGGCTAGTTACAATGGAGATGGACATGTTATGTTATGGCCTGGTTGGCATGTAGGGCAACTGGAGGGCCTCTGAAAGTCATATGTCGCCACATGTGCATCTGTTGTTCTCCGTATTGCTATCGGGTGGGTACTTAATGGCAGTAAAAATGTAATAATAGACGGATGTAAAACAAGAGTTGAATGTAATGTATAGCTTGCAGCCATTGTACTCCACATGAGCGCCCCCATAGTGTGTATACCCTCCAATATAACACGTTACTGTAATTGCCTCGGAAATATTTATTGAAAGACAAACACATTGATGCAATTTCCAGATGACTAACCAATACTACAATAAAAAATTAGTGCTTTCGTGTCGACTGCCGAATGATTTCATTAAATGCAGGAAATGAGATGCACTAACATTGTTGTCATTGTATGTGTAGGTGTGTGTAGACACATGTTGTGTAGGTGGGTATAGACATATGTTGTATAGTTGTGTGTAGACACATGTTGTGTAGGTGTGTGTAGACATATGTTGTGTAGGTGTTTGCAGACACATGTTGTGTAGGTGTGTGTAGACATATGTTGTGTAGGTGTTTGCAGACACATGTTGTGTAGGTGTGTGTAGACATATGTTGTGTAGGTGGGTATAGACATATGTTGTATAGGTGTTTGCAGACACATGTTGGGTAGGTGTATGTTGACACATGTTGTGTAGGTGTGTGTAGACACATGTTGTGTAGGTGTGTGTAGACATATGTTGTGTAGGTGTGTAGACATATGTTGTGTAGGTGTGTAGACATATGTTGTGTAGGTGTGTGTAGACACATGTTGTGTAGGTGTGTAGACACATGTTGTGAAGGTGTATGAAGACACATGTTGTGAAGGTGTATGAAGACACATGTTGTGTAGGTATGTGTAGACATATGTTGTGTAGGTGTGTGTAGACACATGTTGTGTAGGTGTGTGTAGACATATGTTGTGAAGGTGTGTGTAGACATATGTTGTGTAGGTGTATGTAGACACATGTTGTGTAGGTGTGTGTAGACATATGTTGTGAAGGTGTATGAAGACACATGTTGTGAAGGTGTATGAAGACACATGTTGTGTAGGTGTGTAGACACATGTTGTGTAGGTGTGTGTAGACACATGTTGTGAAGGTGTATGAAGACACATGTTGTGAAGGTGTATAAAGACACATGTTGTGTAGGTGTGTAGACACATGTTGTGTAGGTGTGTGTAGACACATGTTGTGTAGGTGTATGAAGACACATGTTGTGTAGGTGTGTAGACACATGTTGTGTAGGTGTGTAGACACATGTTGTGTAGATGTGTGTAGACATATGTTGTGAAGGTGTGTGTAGACATATGTTGTGTAGGTATGTGTAGACACATGTTGTGTAAGTATGTGTAGACATATGTTGTGTAGGTGTGTAGACACATGTTGTGTAGGTGTGTAGACACATTTTGTGTAGGTGTGTGTAGACATATGTCGTGTAAGTGTGTAGACATATGTTGTGTAGGTGTGTGTAGACACATGTTGTGTAGGTGTGTGTAGACACATGTTGTGTAGGTGTGTAGACATATGTTGTGTAGGTGTGTGTAGACACATGTTGTGTAGGTGTATGAAGACACATGTTGTGTAGGTGTGTAGACATATGTTGTGTAGGTGTGTGTAGACACATGTTGTGTAGGTGTGTGTAGACATATGTTGTGTAAGTGTGTAGACATATGTTGTGTAGGTGTGCGTAGACACATGTTGTGTAGGTGTGTGTAGACACATGTTGTGTAGGTGTGTAGACATATGTTGTGTAGGTGTGTGTAGACACATGTTGTGTAGGTGTGTGTAGACATATGTTGTGTAGGTGTGTAGACACATGTTGTGTAGGTGTGTAGACACATGTTGTGTAGGTGTGTGTAGACATATGTTGTGTAGGTGTGTGTAGACACATGTTGTGTAGGTGTGTAGACACATGTTGTGTAGGTGTGTGTAGACATATGTTGTGTAGGTGTGTGTAGACATATGTTGTGTAGGTGTATGAAGACACATGTTGTGTAGGTGTATGTAAACACCTGGTGCATGGTGTGTTCTAAGGGGTGACAAAGGGATCAGATGGTCAGGCTCGCTGACTTGGTTGATGCATGTCATCGTATCCCATTGCGTAGATCGATGCTCCTGATTTCAATCACTGGATTGTCTGGTGCAAACCCGAATATTTACACAATAACTTGTATTTAACGGATATTTGGCGACATTTAAACATTTTGCTTGTAAATGTGTATGGACATTTAAACTGAAACACATACATAAACCAGCCAGTATACATGTTCACCACACATATATACAAACACAGTCAAAGGTACTTATCTAATATCCATATGAATTTGGCAATGATCATGAGTTTTTGTTACATTTCTGGTTTTCACTGTTTTCTATTTAATGATATGAGGAAACTGCGTATATTTACTTGAGATAAATTTGGATAGATCTGGATTCACTTCCCATTTAAACAGATGGTGGAAATTATCATCTATAGCTGGCGACATACCCAGGTACATGTCCTAAAAAGTCTACCTATACCAAGCCAACGAACAACTTCGGCAGGTAGATTACTTTTACAGTTTCTATGAGAACAGGATGATATATTTGTTTATCTAGGGGATGAAAGTTTTCAAATGACGAAAGATCTTTTAAATATATATAATAATACCCTTTGAACTTCTCTCGACGTAAGATCTCCAATTTTGATAAAACTGATCATTTAAAGTCTTTTCTATCTGAGCAGTTAGCAACTGTCTTGAAACGCTTTGGGCGTCATAAAATCCCTAGGTCAGGCCATAGTAATTAAGTATTTGCCTCACTCTTCTTATCCAGACATTTTTTTCATTTATTACATTAAAATAGACAATGAGCAAACTTATAGATAAGTTGCGATAACTTCGGTGCAGTTGACGAAGTATATGCCTGAAACTAGCAACCCGTTTTATTGCATAAATCGATAAACATATTCTACGTAGTTCTCCATAAACCATAAAATTTGGGGTTGCATTTCTAAGACCACGGGCAAGTTTAGGGATTTTAAATGGATCTTTTCAATTATGTTAATATTTCGTACGCCGAGATTTCACAGCCATAAAATGATATTAGTAATATCATTTCATCAAAAGCCTTTCTTCAAAATTCCAAAGGAATATTATAATTTCTAGATTGTTTGAGAAGATTGTTTGAGAACATGGCTTTAGATGCACTCTCTGATAAACATTTTTGTTGACTTGAAATTTCTGTTTCTACTGAATGTACACATAAGTACGTATTATTGTCTACGATATCAATTTACGTATATACATGTTAATTAATTTCTTCAACCAAAACAAACAGACAAATAGAAAGATGGAAGCTCATCGGATGTCGTTATTTGGAAATCAAGGGTAATGGTTATGCGTTAAAGGAAAAAGTATTCCTGCAATGAAAGCAATTTCCAACTGCTCCCTTGTTGTCATCCATGTTTCATGGTATAACCCTACACCTGTGTATTTGTCGTCATGCACTTGATGCTTAGTTAATGAATATTACAATGTGAAACACATTACATGGATTTTACGACGTCATAACTTCTTTTGTATGCATAATATACATAATTTTGCAGACGTTTTAATAAATCATCCTTAGTTGTATACAACAAACTTTTGAATTTATACAATTCTGGCAAATAAACTTTACGTAGATCAATATAATGTTTACAGATGAATACGAGATGATATTCCTCTACAACAGACATATTGCATACAGGATTCAATAGATTGCCATCTACCCTCGTTCTGTCGTAAAGGTAAAACATTACATCTTAATTTAATAAAAATACAACGCGTACATGTTTAATATTGCAAATACTCAAATATCTTTCAGGTTCAAACAGTGTTTTATATTCTTTATACATCACATATCGGATACTATTGTTGAGTGTTGACATCCAGTTTTGACGAAATTCATCCACAAGACACTTTTTAAATACCCCAATGAAAGCTATATTGTCCCCAACAGACTGTTTAACCATACAAATCCCAAACCATGCGCAAATGAAACGTTACGAACAGATGCTACCCAAGTATTACGACCAATGTTGTGGAAATACATCAACATGTTATATACTTTTCTTGGGGTACGCCCTACGTGCATCCTGGTTTATTTTAACCAATACGGTATATGAGGACGTTTGTCTAACACAAAATTTAACAGAAGAGGCTTTTAGGGCTGATAACAATTTTTTCCACTGAGGCCATTACATTGCAAAAACAGTACTGGGTCCAAACTGAGGGAAATATACCAGAGTAGTAGATCTTATTAAAAAGGCAAAAAAGAAATGGCAAAAATCTGGCTGATGTACCTTTTGATATTTCAATCAAAATCTCATCTATACCCGCAGATTTGCCATTTTGTATATGATAGAGTGCCTTTTCCTTTTCTTCCTCTGTAATAGGCGATTTTAGGAAATTATAATTTCATCTAAAGGCGAATCTTCAATATTAATCTGATTATCCTTGAGGTTTAAATTGTCGGACTGAAACATTTCACTAAAATATGTAAACCACATATTCTGACTGATAGTGTTAAAATGACGTGAAACTGTGGATATACCCCTAAGTACCCTCCAAAATCTAACAGGGTTATTTGTTGTTTGTTTTGACATATCTGCTTTTTTCACTTGATAAGCTTGTTTTGTCTGCCTGCAAATGCTCTTACATGTGCCAGTACCACTTAACTTACCTGACAGGTTCCCACTCGTCATTTCTTGTGTCTGTAGTAATTATTCACTCTAAATCCATGTTGGAAGTGGGGTGAAATGTATGTTATGTAGAATGAACGGTACAGCACATCAAGAAATGAATGATCTCTTCAAAGTATTATCCGAAATGAATCACATCATCAAAGGATTAACCGAAAA